ATTATATTATAAATATTTTTAATAATAATTCAATTAAAGTTTTATTATTTCTCTTAATTAAGTATTATATTTTAGCTAAAAAAAAATAACTTTTATTAGTATATAAAGACATAAAATATATAAAATTTTAAATAAGTTAACAGTTAATTGTATTTATGAATTTGTAAAAAAAATGGTATACTGTAATTAGTTAAAATAGCTTTTTATTAGTTGTATTTTAGATAACAAGAATCATAATTTATAGAAAGTAACCATTATTTTTTGTATTATTTAGATATCTTAAATATCAAATATTTTATTAATATATTATCTAAATTATTTGATTTAAATAATTGACTGATTTAAATAATTTTATAATATATAAAATTTAATTTGATCAATAAAAGAGTTTTTCAAATTTTGATTTAAACATATAAAAATTATCTAAGTAATATTTGTTTTTAAGAGATTTACATGTATAAAAAATAATGAAATAATATTAAAAAAATGTGCTATATAAAAAGATAAGAAAATTTAAATACTAATATATTTACATTTAACCATAAATACCTTCCTAAATCTGTGAATTTCATGTAAATAATACTTTTACGAACTTATAGGTATAAATGTAAGCTAATATGAATACACTAAAAACTTTCAAAAAGAAATCATATAAAGATAATTAGAACACAGTAGAATGGTTAAAAGAATTTACTTGAACTTATAATGCATGTAATTTCTAATCAAAGAAATTAGAAGTCATTATAGTCTAATTAAAAGGATCAGCATTGATATGAATAGCAAATCAAGCCCAAGTAAGTAAATATAAAACCAAATTATTATATTAATGAAAAATAGAAATAATACTGATTTTGTTATCATTATTCATATAGTTTTTTAACTCAATCATTAGTAGAAATTTGGATCACAAAAATGAAATAAAAACATCAATAGATAATAATCTGTTAACATATATGTATATGCTCTTTAGAAATTATATCAAAGAATTAAAACTCTAGCTTTCAATTGCAATGAAAATAAGAAGATTAGTCAATAGCTTTCTAGCTAAATTATATTTAATAATAAAGCTATATAATAATTAAACCTGAGATGCTATACTCAATAAAGTGATTACTTATAAATTTATCTATCAATACTTAAATGCAGTAGCAATATATATGAATAAATATAGAATTACTACATTAATCATTTAGACTAATGTCTTTAATAAGCTATACTTAATTTAAATAATAGATTTAGCAATTAAATACAAAAAAAAACTTACTAGAATAATAACATAACATTTAATGATCAATAAGTTATTAATTAAATATATTTTTTCTATAATACCTTAGCAAAATAATCTTATATACTAATTGTACAGCAGTTAGGACACATTAAGAGAAATTATTCCAATAGCTATAATAATAATCAGCCACTATATTTTAATTAAATTCTGCAAATTCCGCAAGTAAATACTTAATATTCTCTTAAATGAATCTAATATTAGCTAATAATATTGCTATAACTACATATAATACTTTAAAATTTACAGTTATTATAACTGTTATTATAGCTAGCATAAAATAATATTTAAAGTAATATTTAATTAGAAATAAACTACTATAGAGTAATAATATAGAATTAATGACAATTTTCTTAAACTTATTATTATTTGAAGTTTATTTTGTAATCAAAACACAATATAAGATTTCTCAAAAAATGCTTTATAAATAAAATGAAAAAGATATTGATAAAAAAGAATAAAAATAATAGAGAAATAATTTATCAATTAATAAGTTAAACAAAAAAATAACTAGTTGCTAAAATAAAAACTAAATAAAAATTATCTCAAGTAGTAGTATGATAATAGGCTTTTTAGCACAAAAAGCCCAAATGTATCCAGAAGGTTATCCTGGGTATCAAAAATTTAACACATAGCGTAAATCCATTATTATTATATATGTGACCTTAAGGTAATCAATTTGCTTTCTTGATTGGTATTTGCTCTGTAAACATTTGCTTCCTATATGTAAAAATAAATACCCACTTTGGCATAATCAAGTCTGAAACCTTTTTGGTTCTCATTCTGGATAACATAAGTTTTTCGCATATATTTTAATCAAATTGCCTTCTACTAGCATACTGCTTAGATAGCAAGAGAGAACAAGCATGTGGAGGAGCAGAGCGACGACGAATGTGCATTCAATATAGGAGAATAAGTATAAGTAGGCAAAGCCCTTTAGGGTGACGCCTATGAATACGCATTCGATGGAAGGGGATAATAGCAGGAATATGAGCAAAGCCCTTTAGGGTGAAGCGAATATGGATGCTATTATCCCTGACCCATATGCTATCTTATTTAATATATGCTATTATATGAGGCAAATATGAGTATCAATAAGTGGGCAAATAGTGTCCACACTCTGTGGAACACCAAAGGTGCAGAGCATGTACACAAGATATGAAAACAAATAGTATTCACACTCTGTGGAATACCGAAGATACAGAGCATGTATATAAGATATAAAAATAAATAGTGTCCACATTCTGTGAAGCGAAGTGGAGCATATACAAGATATGATCACATAGTTGCAAAGCAAAGCGGAGCATGTACCCAAAACATGAAAAAAATCAAGTGATATAAATGATCATACATATTGTATTCCTGTCACTAGCCCATCACTAGCCCAAATTTTCGCAAGCTTTTGACGCTGATAAAAATCTCAAATGTGATATTTACCTGCATATTTCTTACAAGCACTATAAATAGAAGAAGTCAATTTTCCGCATTCTATACATAAAATTCGTCTAGGAAATTTCTAATGAACTTTACACCCTTCTGACCGATAGCACCCCTCATTGTACACTTCTCCAGTCCTAAGAATATATAGACATTTATAAAATCCCATTCCAATAGTCTTTTCTTTTTGAATAAATATGTAACTCTAATTATTCAAATAAATTAATTTTCATTTTAAACTTTTTGTAATCATATATACTCTTTGAGAAAAAATGAGCGGAATACTAAGTAGTATCACCAGTGTATTAGAATGATTATTTGGAAACTTTTGGGAAGACCTGACACCACCTGAGTTACCTGAGCCTCCCGATGAAGAGGTGGACTCAGATGAGGATAGCAACTATGAGACTTCTTCAGCTTACCAAAATACAGAAACAAGATAGTATTTAGCAATTCGAAGGTTTCTGTTCTGGAAAAAACAAGGTAATGATGTCAAATTCTATAATAGATTTACATAATGGATTGGTAGCGGAAGTGACTTCCGTGATTTATCACAAGACTGGTTTTTAATCAAAGCTAATCTGAATGAAACACTTCAGGAAGCGCATTTTCATTACAATGAGGAAGCCAATGCAATATTATGGTGAAGTGAAGGGCAGATAGATTTACGAAAAACTGGAACATATGCTATGGTAAGCTTGCGTTTCTTTCAAGATGTTATTAGAACACCTAGAAAAGCTATAGATTTAACAACTGAAGAAGATTATTGGTAAAATCAGCATACATAGGAGGCTTAGTATGGGCTGAGCCATATGAAGGAATTGCTACTGAGCTAGATTTCAATGAATATTACCCTTACATCTTAGCAGATGGAGGTACATATTAGCCAATAGGACTAGGAGAATTTAAAACAATCACTCATATTAGTACTGATCCTATCGACTATACTTTAAGTTATGGAATTTATCATGCAACTATAAGAGGCCAACCAGTAGAACAAAAATACACAAGGTTATTTCGCTATAATCCAGCAGGATATTATACTCACTATGACATACAATTAGCGTTAAATCTAGGTTTTGATATAAAATTATCATCTAAAAGCCCAAATTCTTTAATATTTAGGCATCTTATGTACGGAAATGAAGTCTTCTATCAATAGGCAAGTTATCTTACAGAGATTAAACAAAAAGGCGGTTAGGCAGAAAAAGTCGTTAAACACATGTTAGTATCTCTCTGGAGATGTTTATTCTCAGATGAACGAAGACTGGGTCCACATCGGCGTATGGTACCTTTTATCTCAGCAAAGGGACGCAAAATTATATCAGAAAAAATTAGACCTCTAGGAGATCGAGTAAAGCGTATCCACACAGATGGTTTTATTATTTCAGATAAAAATACTGAACAGCTGATAGAAAGATATGTAGGTAGGAAGAGTGATCTAAAAATTGCAAAATCAGGTATCGTGATGATAAAAAATGTGATGAATCTAAAGTGGACTAATTTCGAAGAAATAATTTTGACTATACCCACAAACTCGAAAAAATCAACCATCCGTTATATAACCTCAATGCCAAATGAGATTCTCAATAGAATTTTCCAATATCATAGAAAAAATAAAGGCGAGAAATTACATCCTCTTTTATTAGTTATTAAGCAATGGTACTATTTAGCTAGAAGACTAATATGGAAAAAAATAGTTCTAACAGGAATTTCTGGAATCAAATTCACAAAGGCATTAAGCAAAGATACGAAGCCAGATGCATGTGCATAAGTGCTAGGTCTAAAATTTATTAGAGAAATAAATATAGAGCCAGATGTATACATTTCTGAAGTGTGCAAGGCATGCCCTAATTTACAATGGCTAAGTTTTGAAAATAGTGGGTCACGTATACTTAACAATAAAAATCTAGAAGCGTTTCTAGCTGAGTGCTCTAATTTAAAAAGATTCACGATAAGAGATTCTAGTCGCATAAGCCCAAAAACATTTTTAAAAATTCCAGAGCTGTCTCCTAGTTTGGGAATTATAGAAATTAGGGGTATTTATGGATTAGAAAGGAAATATTAACTGATTTCCAAAACTTATACCAAAAAATAAACTCATAATTAAGTTCGATGAAGAATAGAATTAGATAGCATTCACCCCAAATTAATTGATTTTTTTTCTGGTATAATAAATATTCAGATATAAAACATAACATTTAAAATGGCATACATAGAATATAAAATATGGCCTTTTTTTGATGACTTATTACATCATGAAGAGCGATGGGAAGTAATGAAAACAGGACATAGGCACTATACAGTCAAGGCATTAATTGATACATCATCTAGCGCAAATAAAATTAGAAGAAGCATAGCCAATAGGCTTGGAAGAAAATATGGTAATCATTATAAGAATAAAAAGGTGAAAAACTCATTAGGTACTATAGATTGTCTAGATTTATCCTTCCAATATAAGGGGAAAGATAGACTGCTCACTAGTAGTGACGAAACTTTTAATGATTTTGAGGTTATCAAAAAGCCATGTGAAGCGTCTCATGGTCGTGTTGATCTTGTATTAGGCTTACTATGGCTATGAATTCGTGAAGTAAAAATTGATATACGGAAAGAAGGAATAAAGATCTATGGTAATTTTATACCATTTTGCAAGAGTCTGGATTATGTCGAGTCTTTTTATGATTCTAAGGCAGAGTCATCTGAATCAGCTGAGCTTAGAAAGAAGGTTAAAAAGCTAAAACGAACTGTAGATTGGATAGGAAACTATGTAGAAGAGCAAACTGGTTTAGAGTCAGGCAAAGAGATTTCATCTGAGTCTAGTTCATCTGAGTCAGATTATAAATCATGGAAAGCTACTAGTTTTGAAAAACCTGAGAATAAGAAGGTGAAATCTAACAATAAGAAGGCGAAACCTAGAAGGAACCCAACCCGAGCTTGTAGAAAAAATTAAATCTGTCAGTCTATCTAGTAATGGGTAGAAAATTGAGGAATAATCATCGTAAGTCAATGGGAAAATTCACTACTAGCCCTACACAGTATTTGCCATTATGTAATCTGGCCAAATATGAGCATACATTAATATTATTTTTACAATTAAGGATATAGGCTCCTATAACAAAGTATGGGGGTGATTGGTGTGATTCCTCTAGAATCTACATTCTAATTTTTTATTTAATATAGGGTAATTTAGAAAATCTGGATCGGCTAATCATTGGACAATATGATTTCTAGCAAAAATCCAGAGACTTTTATGTTTTGCAACAATCGTAGCTCTTAACTGCAGAAGGGTCTTAATTATAAAAACTGGGTGTATTGGAGGAGAACAGTTTCTAATAAGAAAAAATAATTAAACTAAATAACTTTTGCGCATTTACAATCGAAACAAAATTGCATACTCTCAAAAACTCTAATAATCTCACTTGAACCAATTTTTCATCTATCTTCGCAAAATGCTCTCGAATTCTGATATTTTATTACTCGCATTTTTCTCCATCTCAATGCTAATTTATGAGATGATTCTCCAGGGGGTCTTAACAATAGAGACACTTCGAGGTGTTTTTTCAGGAAATGTCATAATATATATATTTCTTGTAGGGATGTTCTTATTCCTACGCAAATATCTATCATCGACTCTGGCAAAATCACAAATCACTAAACTCAAAAAATCGATATTAGCGTTAAATAATGAAATACAAAAAATGAAAGGAGGGACGGAATGGGATCGTATATCGCAAGGTAAGAAATTTTCATCGCTTTGTCTTTTTGCATATATTCTCAAAGGTAAAGAGGTACTAACTTTTATCATTTATTATTAGGTTCGTCTCGATTCTCTTCAGGCCGTGTATCTGCCAGTCAATATTTAGAATATCCTGATAAAGTCCAAACTTTATGGATGGAATTCACAGCCCTATTTAATCGAAGAAGAAGAAGAGAGGGACGCTCCTACACACAATTATATAATGTAATTTCTCAAGAAATCCGTCTAAGCTCTGTGACTTTGGCGAGTTTCTACCACCATCAAAAAACTCTGAGGATTACTTCCTTAGATAAAATCGAAGAATAGGTTGAAAGAGAAGGGAGGAGGGATTCTAATAATAGCGGTAGTAATAGTAATAATAGCAATAATGAAGGCAATTAGTGGAGCCAAAGAATAGGAGAGTCATTGTCTTTCGAGATGGGCTTTGGGTCTGACTGCAAGTGTTCTAATATATTGAACTAATTGCCTAATGCAATTATATGATATTTAGAGCACGTTCTCCTATACAACTCTGTGAAAATTTTATTATCATTACATCAAAAAAATATGAAAAATAATTTCTTTATTGTGATAAATTTTACAAAATGATTTTAATAAAAATATATTTAGAACTATAAGCGTTTTTTTTCAGGTGAAATCATACAGCCTATATTGGATCATCTAGTGTTATAAATTTTTGGCTTGACATATGCTATTTTTCTTGACGTGTCGTATAAATATGATTATTATATAATTCTATGCAGTTCGATCAACATGTATTGGCTAAATTAGACCTGAATTATGTTTCAGCTAAATTGCCTTGCATATCGGACAGTGTTTTTTAATATATATGTTTAAAACTATTGATTAGCTGATCATTATGTATAAATACATCATACGAAGCATCTCTGGCTAACCCCTCCTATTAATCACGAGAGATCTACAAACTGAAAGTAACGGGAGAGCGTTGAGGACTAAATGAGATGCTGAAAAGGAGTCAAGTGTATCATAATACAATGATGATCATGTTGTGTATATTGTCTTAGATCTAATTTAACCGAATCAAAAAAATCAGTTATAAATCTGTTTTCATCCTGAAGTTAATCGAATAAAAATGAATCTGATATTTATTTTAGTATACTTGTTACAAACTGTTATAAATCACTGAAATTGCTAAAACGCTATAAATCACTAAGATTAGTCATAAACTATAAAAAATGGTTAAAACTAACTATTTCAGTTTAAATCCTGTAGTAGTACAGGCGTTAAACAATCTGCAATATAGGTATAGTGATGAAACACCAGAAATATGATATTCTTGTGTTCGTTATCCATTCAAGAAACTTCTCGAATATAACTCAAAATACTTCTCGAAGAATGGGTTTATCCAAATGATTAAAAGATCATATATAGATGAGGAATTTAAAGCTGAGAGACGCTCATTTAATATTTATTGCACTGTATGTGACTCCTTAGTAATTATTCACGAAAATACCATTGAATGTGGCAATGATCATCTGAAGAAATGTATTGCCAAAAGGCGCCTTGCATATTCTAAACCTGTACAGAAAAATATGAAAAAAAGAGGAATGGATCCCTTCAGTATTACGCTAAGCTGAAAGAGTGTATTATCGCTTAGTTCTGATGAGATAGATGAGATTTATCGAACATATTGTTTTATATTAAATAATTACTAGATTAAACATAGTTATCACTGTTCACCTGAAGATAGAAAAAGGGTTGTAAATCATTTAATCGAAAGTGCAAAAGTTGTCTAACGAGTTTGGAGAGCTTTCAAGTTAAGACCTGAAATATGGGCGAAATGAGTTTGGAATATGATAAGAAATGATAGTACTCCTGACAAGAAGAAGTTTTTAGGTATAACTCCTCATAAAATAAGAGTTCCTGATGATCGATATATAGACTATATATGGGATCCCAGTTATCTTTTGGCAGGAATTAATTATGGAGATAGAATTCAAGCTAAAGATATGCCTGCACATTATCAGAATCTTCCTATATTATACGATCATTATACTTCAGAAAGCTGGGTAGAAAGAAAGAAAGAACAGTTATGGGGACGATTAAATAGTGTAATATAGTACAATAGATTGCGAGTATGTGCAACGAATTTTTCAGACTATAGATTCTTTATTATTACATATTCATATTTTTTTGCATCATATAATCTGCATGATCGCCTAGTATAATTATGAAATGTATCACCTGCAAGATAAAAAACCTGATTTGCCTATTTTAGGTTAGATCCTCAGCAATATACTGTATAACTATTTTAATAAAGTATTTTTCAAGAAAGCTCCTGAATATTATATTATTCAGCCATGCGAAGTGCTTCAAGGCCAATGCATGTGTGACATAAATTAGCACGTTTTCGATCTTCGTTAAAGTATATATAATGTAATATGTGATAGTCCATAAATTATCTGTGAAACTATACTTGTGCGACAAAATAATTTCACACATAAGTCGATCCTCAAAAAATATTTTGAATTTTTTCCCTATCTATCGGAATAGCATTTATTTATGAATTTATTTCTTCCAGAGTGTTGCGTTGTTACAGGCTATTCCTACTAAATTTTGACTGGAGTATATTTATATAATGTTAGTAGGCCTTTATTACTGAGTGGTCGGACAAGTAAAATAAAGAAAAAAAAGTATGTATATACATACCCCAGCGCCTTAAGGCTAATGCATGTAAGTGTGTACAACATAAATTAACATGTTTTTGATCCTTATTAAAGTATATACTGTTGAGATTTTCAATGCATATTCTGCATGTCCTTATTCTCGAACACAAACTTTTAGCGTAAGGATCTGTTGCATATTCTTCTGTCTCTTCCCTCCAACATGAATACAAGTCCAAAGAGAATATAAATGGTCATTTAAAAGGGTAGTATAGTTAAATTATTACGCCTTTACATTATTTTTATTTCGCTTAGCAGGCTTCTAACATTATATTTTGACTACCTTTATCATTATATTTTCAGAATATTTATACGTAAAAACTGTAGAATATTTGACTAACGTAAAGACTGAACATTTAATGACAGGCTCCGTTATTTACCAAGAGTTAGAAGAAAATCCTTGGATTAGTAAAGATGAACTAAGAGACGTTGTAGAAAAAGCGGTTAATTTGATAAAAAACTCACATAGTATAGATTTTGAACGTTCTGGAAAACTTATTCAAATTATACCACAGGTACGCTATTTTATAGGTGAAATATTATGATCA